TCCAGCCAACATCCATCCATCCATCCAACCAACATTCATCCATCCATCCATCCAACATCCATCCATCCAACATCCATCCATCCATCCATCCATCCAACCATCCAACCATCCAACATTCATCCATCCATCCATCCAACATCCATCCATCCATCCAACATCCATCCATCCAACATCCATCCATCCAACATCCATCCATCCATCCATCCATCCATCCATCTTCTCTCCATTGTTTTGTTTCCAACCTGTTTTTATCCTCTCCAGGTTTTCAGCGTCTGAATAATTAAACATGTTGTCAACAACATGTTTATTTACCATCATGCATTGCTTCTGTCCCCTGTGTGTGTGTGTGTGTGTGTGTGTGTGTGTGTGTGTGTGTGTGTGTGTGTGTGTGTGTGTGTGTGTCACAGCTAACCGAGCACAGAGCGGCGCAGCCAGCAGCTCCCAAACTGGAGACGCCTTAGGGAAAGCCCTCGCCTCAGTAAGTACTGCTCCGTTTCCCAGCGCCTGTCAGGATGCTAAGTGATGCTAACAAGTGCTAACTGATGCTAACAGGTGCTAACTGGTGCTAACAGGTGCTAACTGGTGCTAACTCCTGCTAACTGATGCTAACTGGTGCTAACTGATGCTAACTGGTGCTAACGGATGCTCTCTGTGCAGATCTACTCTCCAGATCACACCAACAACAGCTTCTCGTCCAACCCCTCCACCCCGGTCGGCTCGCCACCGTCACTCACAGGTAAACACGGGTCAGAACCCGACCTGAGTCAGAACCAGGAATGGGGAACACAAACGGTTACAAAGACGTTCTGGTCCAGGTTCTAGTGCAGACATGTCAGGATCAGGCAAAACTGACTGAGAAGCAACTTTTAACAGGAAATAATCAATAATTCCTTAATATTGATAAAAATCTTGTCTGATTACGACTTTAGTTTTCATTAAGACTTTATTCTGGTATTATTACAAACTTTAACGTATTATTACGACTTTATTTTTATAATATTATGACTTTTGGTTTTACGACTGTTTTTGTAATATTCCAACTTTATTCTCATAATACTATAAATGTTGTCGTATTATTACGACCATCAATAGGAATAACATTTTATTCCTGTTATTACTGCTTAATTATTAAGTAATTATTATTAAAATGCATTCTCATGTTATTATGACTTTATTCTGGTAATGTAGGTTTATTTTCCCATCATTACGTGTTTTTCATTTTTTTGTTTATAATTCTACATTCTAAAATGTTTTTTCTGTCTCCAGTGGTCAAACTTCACATAAAACCTATATTTCATCATAACTTAGTGAAATAGTTGCAGCTGGTGGTTTTTAATCTGTGGATGACTTCCCGTACCGACGCTGAGTCCACTCCTCCTCTCTGCTGCGTCTCCTTAAAGTGAAAAATGACTTTTTCTAATAATAATTGAGTCAAATTTGTCTAATTGTCGGCGCTCCGTTTGATGCGGCTCCGCCTTGTGACTGATGGCTTTAATTACGAGCTCCACTTCCACAAACCTGCCGGCTCCGCCAACACCAGCCCTCTCCCCTCTTCCTCCTCCTCGTCATCATCATTATAGCTGACTAGGATATTGCCTGCGAAACCATAATTGGTGTTTATCATTGTGTCAGAGTTACTCCACTTTTAACAAATTAGAAATGAAGCCTATTAGAGCAAACTACATGCAAATTGATATCCAAGGCGAACGCCGTGAGGGTGTTTTACACCGTCGGACTCGGAATAATTTAGCCGCCGTTTAATACATATATTTGTATTTGCACATGAATGTACCCAGGTGATTATGCATTAATTAGCATATGCAAATGAGCATGTAATATGAATAAAGGAGAGGGGAGAGAAAAGACAATGAAAAGGAGAAACGCGCTAATGAGAAGGAATCAGAGGAACAAGGTGGCAGCAAAACATGAGAGCAGAGGGAAGTTCAGAGCAACAGCTCTGGCTTTCAGCAGCCAGGAGACTAAAGCATTAAAGGTAACCTCACATCTCAAGTTGGAGGGACAAGAAACATTTTGGAGCAAAAAGCACCAAGGAAACCTGCACTGAAACGAATCTGGACTGAAAATCCATCGCTACACAGATTACGGCTTTTAAATGTTCAGTTTGGCGCATCGAGAGCGTGGATCGGGTTTGGGACCGGTCCAGGTTCAGGTCCTGATGATGTCATCTGGCCTCTCCTGATGTCATCTGGCCCGTCCTGATGATGTCGTCTGGCCCGTCCTGATGATGTCATCTGGCCTCTCCTGATGTCATCTGGCCCGTCCTGATGATGTCGTCTGGCCCGTCCTGATGATGTCATCTTGCCCGTCCTGATGATGTCATCGGTCTGCTCTGTTGCAGCTGCCAGTTCAGCCGTCTGGTCGAGGAACGGCGGACAGGGCGCGTCGTCGCCGAACTACGAGGCTCCTCTTCATTCACTGGTAGGAAACAAACTGAGTTTTATTCACAATTAAACTTTGACTTTTTCTCTGCAAATTCAGATTTTTGATCTCAGAGGATCAAAGTCAGAAATCTGAGGAACAAATTCAGGCTTTAAATTAAAGTCAGTATTTTTAAGTTAAATTAGAGGAAAGCGTTGGTTGTTTCAAAATGGCAGCATCTCGTTGTGCCGCAGCAAAGTCGCATCGAGGACCGGCTGGAGCGCCTGGACGACGCCATCCACGTGCTGCGGAGCCACGCCGTGGGGCCGTCCACGGGCATGGCGAGCGCGCACGGCGACATGCACGGCCTCATCGGAGCCGCGCACACGCACAACGGCGCCATGGGCGCGCTGGGCAGCGGCTACGGGACGGGACTGCTGTCGGCCAATCGGCACTCACTAATGGTAGGAGCTGTGATGATGTCATCGCCGGGTCAGAGACAACCTGCTGACCGTCCGTTTGTCCGTCGGTCCACTTTTTCTCACGTTGTCTTCATTAATAGTGAACGCTGTAATCTGGACTACAAAGCGCCGTGCATTCTGGGAGTTTGAGTCAGTCGGGTGTGAAAATGAGTTTAACCTGAAACGTCCTGTTCATGTCAGTTCATCTCCCAGAGAACCTGCAGGAACAAACTTCAGCCGTTTCTCTGTCACATCCTGCTTCACCCAGAGACGTGAAGAAAGACGTCCTGAGGCTGTTTTCCACATTCAGGCCTTAAAACAATAAAGATCCAAACAGCTGCGTGACATAAGGCTGGGCAGAGGGAGCCTGAAATACGGCGAACAGATCCAGATGCAGCGCCGCGTTCCTCACAGGAACCTCCTACCTGACGCTCACCTGGAAGCAGCATGTCGGCCTCAACGCAGCAACAGAAAAAGTTTTAACCCTCAGTGGCTTTTCCAGGAAACAGTTAATTCGCTGAAGGCTGCAGTAATCAGGAAGTAAACGTTGCTCACTAGCATGGACCAAACATTTCAGAGTCTGAAATATTTCCAGGCTTTGTGCCTCTGGTAAGGCTCAGACCCCTCAGTGGATGGGAAACCACAGCTGCATCAGGCTCTGCCTTCATGCTCTGAACGGACAGAAACGCCACCGATTCAGCTGCTGCTTAGAGGTTCCTGCTGATGTCATCCCAAACTCACAGTGTTGTTACTTTGAGAGAAGTGGGTGTACTTTCTTTTTCAGCTCCAACTGAGAAACTGTTTAAGTTTCTGACATGTTCTGTGTGAAAGAGGGAGCCGTTTCTGCTTCTCGGACAGATTTGGCCCAAAGCTGCACTGAGAAAACATTTGGTGTGAAGGATAATATTTTTACCAATCACCTTTTAACTGTGTGGAAGGAAATCCAAACAGCTGTAATGTGCAGCTGGTGAGACGGTGGGTTTGCTTCGGACCCTTAATCGGCCGCCTGTGCTGCCGTTGAGGCCACGGTTTGTGTTTGTTCAGGGTGTGAAGCTCATTACAGCTGAACCTGCCGGAGGCATCGAGACCTCAGTCCTGCAGCGCTGAGCTACTCAGACCCGTTTAAAGTCCAGGTCTGATCAGCAGTTTTATAAACGGTGGATTAATGTCAGGATAATGAAACTGAAGCTGAAAATGTTCTGTAGGGCTTCATGAAATGAGGAAAACATGACATCACTGCTGATACTGTTGTATACTTTGATGATGATAAACTCTAAATTTGTTTTCTCTCTTTGTGTTTTTGTGCAGCCTTTGGCCTGAAGCCGTTTCAGTGCCGCCCTGTTGAACAGTGGCTGCTGCAGGCGACTCGTCCTGTTGGTTACAGTGATGCGACGTGATTGAGCCGCGATCGGTTCTTCACATAAAAGTCTCCAGTAGCAGATAAAAGTCACTGGATTTGTTGCTTTTTTGATTAAAAGTTTCTGGTTTGAAAAGTTGTTAATCAACAAAGTTGGCGACTGATTCTTTCATCCTGACTAAACCTCCACTGAAACTCATGTTCATCCCCACATTTGGCCACGCCCCTCAGCGTATCTTAGCTCCGCCCATTTATGGAGGAATTGTTCACATTTTGGGGGCGGGGCTAAGCTTTCACAGCAGGGTTAGTTACACTTTAAAGGGCCAGTGTTGTGTAGTTCCCAGGCATGTGGAGCCACTTCATAGCATAATCTACGTTACCTTCAGTTGCTGTAAAAATATAGTTTAACATCTTGAAATTGGGCCTCTGTCTCTTTAAGAAGCTTCTGCTCTTTCTGAAGCTCCGCCTCCAGGAAGTCATCCCAACATGGCTCCCAACATGGTTTTTACCGGCGTTGCTCTGAGCAGCAGCTCCACCAGGTGTTTGCTAATGGATGCTGGCTAGTCTGGAGGAGCTTAGTGGGGGAGGGGCTAGGTCCGCCCTGCCGTTTTGAACATCTGAATGGTTGCCATGGAGATGAAAGGATTTCTAAAACATGCATGAAAAGCTCAAAGAAACACTCCTGGGAATAACATTACACCACAATGGAAAGGTTTAGGAAGTTTATTTTAAATAATTCTGCCTCGTTAACTGAGAAGCAAACGACGGTTCAGTGCACACCTCTGACAGTTTTGGAGTGGCCTAGACAAAGCCTTGACTTAAATTCAGCCAAAGTGATGTGGCCGAACCATAATTTATTTTGAATAATTTGACCCAGACGACGCGAGCAGGCAGTTCTCCTCCTGAAGACGTTTGTCCGTGAGGTAGTGTGTGTCCAGGCTTTGTTGTTCTCTCGCTCCCGGTGCGTTCGCAGCGTAAACAGGAACTCTGAGAGGAAGACGGATGTTTGAAAAAGTGACGGCATTGTGTTTGCATCAAGCCTGTTTTTCAGTTTTCCTCCTGCCTTTAACTCTCTCCTCGCCTGCAGCTTCTCATCGTTGCTCCTGCTCTTCTGTCTCCACACACATTGCTCTTGTTTCGCCGCATATTTACTATGTGACATCTTTGCTGTGATTCGTGTTTTGATCTTCCCGTCCTGATGGACTCGGCTGGCGTTCGCTCGCTCTGTTTTCATGCGCACGCATACACACAGCTGTCTGCAGTTTGGCAGCGCTGGGGCCGAGACGCTTGCAGGCTGAGATCATAACTCTGGGAAAACAGGTGGTAAGCTGATGTGGGACTGAGACGTATACAGTTCACAGCTATGAGTGCATCGTAAACACAGAAGTAGATGCATATGTCCCAACAATCAGCGAGGTCGCCTCGCCGTTCAGGTTCAAGGCTTTTGGCCTCCACAGCGAAAGCTGAAGGGACAGAATGAGCCAACATGTCAGAAAATATGAAGAAAATTCATATTTTCTTTACGTTTCCTGCTTTACTCTTCAGTGTATTAAAGCAGATCAAAATTAAAAAGTGAAAACACCCCTCCTACTAATCCTTTAGAGATAACATAAAGTCCAGTTCGTTCCAGTTTGACGTCACCGTCTTCCTTTTCTGAATAAAAATAGTCAGTAATGTACCAACAGAACCAGACTGAGAGTAAATACTCATAAAACAGAATAACATGCTCTTGTGTTTTTAACGATGTGGGAAACTGTTATTGTCTCTTATGCTTTTTGAGCAATGTTAACATTTTTAGCAAAATAAACACATCTGAAGTAGTAATTTGGTAAATCTGCTCAGATTAGCAGAGCTTTTCCACATAAACATGAGTTTTCATAGAGGTCAAAACTGGAATTAGCATGCTAGCTTAATAGTATGCTAAGTTAAAACTTAATCATCACTGGAAAAGGAGAAAAAACCTGACTGCTATTTACTGATTGTTAGCATGCTAGCCGCATGCTAGCCGCATGCTAGCCGCATGCTAGCCGCATGCTAGCTGCTGAGTTTTGGTTAAACTTTGCAAGTAAACTTGTCGTGACTACAGAAACTCTAAGGCTGTTACTGTTTTTAGAAAAGTTGCTATGCTAAGTTAATTTTATAGCTAATTACATGCTAATGTAGCATTCTGACATAAGAAAGGAAAATAAAAATAGTTTATAATAATGATAACTAATAGTTGGTGTCCTAGCTTAGCTTTACAGTTTGCTAACTATGCTAAACAAACATTTCGTGGTTGAGGAAAAAGCATATTTCTGAGAATACTTATTGCTTTTAGCATGTTAACTTAGCTAGCATTGGAACAAAAAAGGCACACAAAAAAATGGCTGAGAATAGCTGGTATGCTAACTTAGCTGTAACCATCATTGGTAAAAAAAAAGGAAGAACCCTCAGTATGTGTTGAGGGTTTAAAACCAAAAGATACTTTTTCTAACTTCACATAAATGTACCTATGCTAAACAAATGAGTCATTATTAAAAAAGAAGAGCAGTTCAGGGATTATTGTTTCCGTTGAGGTAAAATAGTTCTCTAAAAGGAACGGTAGCTATGCTACAAATAGTTTTCCTTCCTGGAAAAGAAGCAACAGCCCTGAAAGTGTTGCTCCTTGCAACAAAGAAATTGTTTTAAATTTGATTTTATAGCTCGCTAACTATGCTAGTAAAAACTAGTCACCATCAGAGTACATTAAGACGACATTTATTGATGTTTTTAGGAAGGTTAAAACTAGAAGCTACACAACAAACCTCAAGCAGTGATTTTTACTGACGTGGCCTGGATCGGGTTTGTTCAGTTCTTTTAATTACTTAGAAATCTGCAAACAAAAGACCTAGCTCTCTGTCATACAAGAAAAACAATGTGAAAAGACTTGTGTGTGTTTTAAATAATCCAGGATGTCACGCGCTGTTGGAGCCTGGGCTCATTTTTCTGTTGGTTGTGGGCACTGCGGCTTCTTTTAACCAAGTCATAATGGCTGTCTGGAAAGTCATGTTTCTCTCTGCTGCTATAAAGTCCTGCTGTTTGTTTTACTGCATAGCTGATGAGTTTGAAGGGCGACTCTGAAAAGATGGGAAAGGTTAAGCGACTGAAGCCCCCCGCTGCTCCCTGCTTCCATTAAGCAGCGTTACAGTAAGTGAGTTGACTCATAATCTGCCTCACTTTGCCGTAAAACCCCCTAATGCTTTGTAATGCTGAGCTTTTAGTAAATGCATTCCTGTAAGCTGATGAAAGTTGCCTTTACTTCGGAGCTGGTCGCTGGTCCAGTGATCGCTGAGCAGAGATATCATGGACGATTGTTTTAACTAAGCCCTGCTGTGGAGAATCTTATGGAAAGCTTTCAGAAGAGCTTTGATTTCTGCAGATTAATGTTGGCAGAGTATTGTCAGTCTGAGTTATCTGAACATCTAATGATGAAAGGATTTATTTGTTCAACGTCAGTCTGTGGGTGGAAGCTGGAACGTTTCCTCCTTTTATGTTTTTTCATATTTTAATTAGATTTTAACCAAAATTTGTTTGGTTCTCATTAATTTGAAAGCATGTTTGCGTCCTATTCAAAGTACAATGTATGCTAATAAAGGCTGCTAAAATATGGTAATATTGTAATTTTAAT